CACACACACACACACACACACACACACACACAGTGTAGAATAACAATAAAACCTAACTTCCCTGTAATGAGGTCTTTGGGTCAGGGCACTACACTACATAATACTTTATTATTAGGTCTGATTGCACACACATCGGGACAAATTTTACCACTTTTAATTCAATTTCTGAGAGAAGACATTGGGACTCAACTGAAGCTTTCACAGAGTTGGAAAAGAAAAAAAATGCATGATTAGAAAATGTATCACTGAAATGTTTTGAAGGTTTTTAAAGTTCTACCATATTTATTGAGGTTTTGCTAATGAATGCCATATGATCCTTTAAGTTTCATTTTAATTTTAATAATCTGTTTTACTCATTTACAGTAGTTAACTTAGATGTTCACACAGACTTGCCATAATCTGCAATACTAACTAAGTTGCAGATACAAAGAAGAATATATATATTTTTTTTTTAAATACCAAGAATTAATTTTTATATTTAGATAATTCTGTAACTTTGAATAATTGAAATACCCAATAAAAATGTTGTTATATCTGACACAAACATTAGTCACAGACAGTCACATAGACAACTGTTAACCTTTGATGAAATATGCATCTTACTGTAATATGAATCTACATGTATTGTCACATTTATCTTGTAGCACTGATTGGCAGGTTTTATGACACAGTTATTCTATAATTATTGTTATATAGACAGAATTCTTCTATGTGTTGTTATAAGTGCATTTATTACATTGTAATAACATGATTAATAGTCATGTCAACACACACAAGCCCATGAGGAGTTTCAAAAGAGGGTTTATCTGAAGCCACAGCTGTTAAATATTGCATAAATACAAGGGGGGCCTCAGAAAGCATATGAGTTTCATTTCAGTCATTGAAAACAACAATATGCATCATTATGAATGGCATGGCGAGCAGAAAGAATGTGGTTATCATTAAAATGACTAAACACACAGATGAGTGTTCTCCAGAGGCCAGTATACACACATGCACTCACATGAAGCCACAGAAAGAAGACGGACACACACACACACACACACACACACACACACACACACGCGCGCACGCATGCAGGCACACACACACACACACACAAGCACACACACATTGAGAGGAACATTCTTTAGATGCTTCCTTTAAGTGTATTAGAGAGACTTGCTGTTCTCATACTCACTGGTATCATACACACTGCATTGATTACAGTGTTACGCAGTTAGATCAATGAAAACATCTTTATCACAGTCTGAAATCACTTCTACAAAACCTTTCCCCATTACAATACTTTTACATAACACATTTTTATGTGCTATTTAATTATATTTGCAATTAGGTTATCCTCTAAATGCATCTGATGTTCTGAAGCTAAACTTTCCCCTGCTTTTACATTTGAGTGGTTTTTGCTGTTTTATTGGTAGTGAAAGTGGAGAAATTAATGGAAAAATAGGGAAAAGATAAGGTTTAGGATCAGACATGTCATTCTGTGGATTCGAACCTGTATCTCCTGCATTAGCACCATACTTACAGGTAGCTCAATGTGCCTGAAGCACATGTACTAACCGCTAGGCCACATTTCAAACAACTTCTGATATTTCAAACTGGAAAAAAACTATGACTGTTTTACATTTGTGCTAATTGTTTCTAACTATCCCAAACAACTCAAATCTGGGTCGTGTTCCCTAAGCTCA